TTGTTCTTCATCATCATTAAAAATGTTCAACATTTTGTTATGTGTAAAATGCAAGGAACAAGAAAAACAGATTGTATCATCATTAGAAAGATGTACACGCAGCATAATGAAAAGTAATTTGGTTCGTTTGAATCAAATTATAATGATAATTGCCATAAAATAAAAAATAATGCAAAAGCATGTTTTTAATGTTAGAAACAGCTTCGACCAGTTACTACGACGTCTCACAAAAAACAAAATTTCTACGTTTAACACCTTGATACTTCGAATTGATTGTGCTCGTTTCATATAAAATGCTTAATCAAACTTAATATCAAAAAAGTTCGCCTTGAGTTGTTCAAGCACGACTACCATCGATATAAATAATAAGATTGTTGATTTATTTATTGTATTATATGAACAACAGATACTTTTTTTTTTAAATTCAAAGGTTTTATCTATCGCTTATACACATTTCTTCTATTTGTGTACAGGTGGTGTCCAGATGTCAGAGATATCAATCAATAGCGTATAGAAAAAAAGAGTACTGATTGAATATGAAGAATAAAATATCTAGACGGAGAGAATGTATTGTTACATAGAACACACATTAATGTCAAATGTAACATTTAGCAATAACTTTAATGTACCATTTTTAATGCAAAGAAATTGTCGTCCTTCATGATACCGAAATCGAACTAGCAGAATGAGAACTTTTTTTTTTATATCGATTTCAACTTTCTTTCATAATCACAAATCATTTGCATTACAATTCTAATGCAACAAAACACATAGAGTGAGTGTGGATTTTGTCACTTCTAGCATCCATACCCACACCTAGTCTTTGATTGCTAATAGATAATTGAGTCATTTAGTTTAATACATTCTTTGTAGAAGTTATTTTCAACAAGACTATACGTCCATTCGTTATATTTGTGATTTGGCCATGAGCGTTTTGATACAATCGAATAGTTCTTCTGGGGATTAATTACTACAGACAAAGAAACACATGTTTCACTTGTCTGTCGCAACAGCTAAACATTTAAGAAAAAGGTTTTTCGATTTACAGCTGATTTTATCTTTGATATCATATGAAAACAATATTACGGATAATTTCATACAAAAATATGAAAATATTTCGCAACAATGATGACTGTATCGAAGAAATAAACAGGAATATGTTATGAGAGAATTCGAGCTGACAAACAGAATTAAACGATAATATAGTGCAAAAGGATGGATGTGGATGTGGAGTTTGAAAAAATGACATGACTGCCACTCATACTTACACCCATACCAACACCATCAAAACTCCCTCAAAAGTTGCTTATTTCTTATATAAATAATGCATTATTCAAACATTAGCATATAAAGAATAATTCATTCATTGTACTTATGGATTTCTTTCTATTTCTTTCGTTTACTGTCAGCAAGATGAATAATTCTTATAAGTACCATAGGACTCTAACAAACAATAATCTGGATTGATGGATATTATTTGCAAAAGGTACTTATTCAAATATACAATTTCAGGCTTATTCATTCATACACTTATGCATATACTTCATATTATTTATCAAGAGAAAGCAAATAATGTAGGACTAAAGAGTCGAGAGAAATCTCTTACTTCTGAAAATATATATATACACACTCTTATTCAGTTGAGAAGTGTATCGAACTAAGACATACTAAAATGCGACTTTGGTTTATTCTCATTCTCATCATCAGTTTTGCTGACTTCAAGTAAATTATTACATCGAATTCAACTCAAAAAATATCTTTTTTTCTTGTTAATTTTTTTTAGTTGGGCAGGATTTTTCAGTCGTAAAGAAAATGAGGCTTGTATACCAATCGTAAATGATTGTAAATCTGGTTTAAAGTGTCGTCTGTCAGCATCTTGCACGATTTTCAGTAGTGCGAAGAAAGTGATGTGCTGCCGACCTGCACGAATATCTGTAAAATGAGCTGATGGAATGATTAATACTTGAGCAAAATTAGACTTCACTACAAAAAACTGATTCTCGTATTTATCATTGTCATGTATTCCGTTATTTTTATATGAAGTCCATTTTTTCTTATATTTGAAACTAAATTGTGCTTATGATTAAGTTTAGTGTAAATAATATTGCTTGTCTATTGATTGTCTTATCAAAGAAAGCTTCTTTTTCAAGTTGTGATCGGTTCTTCGAAATGAACAGTAACAATTAACTAGAAAGCAATGGCCAAAATTTCATTCAAGATATTGGAAAGATAACGAATCGTTATGAAGTTCGAAAACATGAAACAAGAAACAAAGAGAGTAAGAGGAAACGGGTGTGGATGTCACTCCTTTCTTTACTCACACCAACACACATCCATTCACACCTACCACCCAGACCCCCACCCCTGCACTCCCAATATCGCTCTGAAAGGATCGAAGAAAAACAAACAATGTATGAAGCATGGCATCGAACGCAATTGTTCTTAAGTCAACATGCAGACGAAAAATAAACGAAAGTTGGAAAGAATAAGATTACAAGTAATGTCGACGTTGCATTTTTCCACTTCTTTTGTTTTAACAATACGATTTTCAGTTAAAATTAAGTAAAATTTGTTGTTGAATGTCGTCAATGCAAAAAAAACATTTTACATTTAAACTTGTAAATGTTGCAGGCGGCACATTTAGGAGCTCATATTTTAAAATACGTTACTCAATAGAGTGATCTGTTTTTCTAGGTCTGAGATAAGTTGAAACTAGTCTCTATGTAAATCTTACTTAAACAAATTAAATTCTACATAGATAATGTCCTTCTTCTGGAAATCGTTACTCTTTGCCACTAAAAGATTATTGTTACTGTTTGAGTTTTTTGTCTATAAGGAAGACTTAATATTTTCTTGAATTGTTTTTGTTAAATGTTAATTTTCATTGAATTAAGATAATTCGTTTTTCGTTCTATATGTAGCCTTATCATAAAACTAAATGTTGGCAATCAATACAACGATCTTTCTATACTTGAACATCGAACAGAGAGTTTTTCGATATCAATAAATCTTGCTCTAGAATTCAGGAAATCAGCCTCAATCGTTATCAATCAATCAATCGATTAATATATCTTAAAAGGTATCATAAGCATTGGAAATCATATGCTCCTTTTTTTTTACAGTTTTTTCTGCTTTGAATATTCGAGTCAAGCAAAAAATCAAAGCCTTAGAAAACTCATTTGGAAACACACATTCAATTTTAATGATCTATTGAACATAATCTTAATTATATTTTGTGAATATATTGGATGATTCTTGATCAATGACCATAAATACAAAAAAAAATAGATGCGGATGTGGATGTGAGTCTTTTCAAAATCCGTACCAATACCCAAACAGCCACACTCACAGTCACCGCCACAGCTACACACATCCACCCGCACACACACACATACCCTTGGAAGACATTCTTATCGTCGAATCACTTAATGACACTCAGCAGAGCAGAAATGCGTCTCGTGTAAAGACTATTCTCTATCGTACACATCGACACTGCATAGAACCAGTAGTGAAGCAGTGCGTTCTCCAATGAGAAACTATCCTTAGATATGTTGTAGGATCATAAGTGAAAAACTAAGTAAAAGGCGGTTGAATCTATCGTAAATGAATGATAAGTAGCCCATTGTCAGCGTCAAGGCGACTGATTACTTTCATTTTCGTAGCTGGTAAAAGAAGAACTTCATCCTCCGTCTTGTAATATGAATAAGCACGGATACACTTGCCAGCTTCACACTTGATACTAAACAATGTTCTTACTCCTGTCTTGCCAAGAAACTTGTCCTCTTCGAGCATTTGGAGCGATCCAGTACATGAACTATTAGAAGCATGAAGATGAAATAAATAAAAAAAGATCCGTATAACTGACCTGAATCCACACCAGACAAACTCTTTGTCAATTGGATATTGAACACTCAAGTCAGCTTTAACACCACGCCATACTGTTGCTTTGACTGATGGGAATTTCCACAAAGCGGTTAGAACAAGCTTCAAATAGTAAAAGTATGGAATGATTTTATCTCGGTTTTCTTCTCGCAGAGCAGCATTTATATGCAAATAAAATGATTGGACAGTTGGCTGGCATTCTATCGTGTACAGCTGAATAGCAGCTGATTCATCTTTAGTAAGTCCATCAGAAACATCAGTAGATCTTGCTTTTGAAATCGATGCATTTCGCTTAATATTGGGAATGACATCTTCTAAGTGTTCAATCGCAAGTTCCAATGGCAAGAGAAGTTTCTTTTCGTAACCTTCGATTCTAAAGATAAACTGTAGCAAATAGCAATATTAATAGATAATGGAGTGAACTTTACGGTAAAAGCATACGCTGATGTTCATTTCGAATATCAAATACGCGTGAACTTAGATTGGATAGTTCATCGCCACTAGTTGATGAGAGAGTAACAGGAGGAAAACTCTTATTTTCTGAAAAAGAAGTTCATAAAATTGTTTTGTGTACCTTGCATTTATCAATCATCATTTGAAAAAAAGTTGTTTTTCTAAACTCTCTTAATAATTAGTAAAGATTTCTCTAAAAAAAACATTGTGTCATGAAAACATATTGTTACGAAACAGTTTGACGTAGACTCTAGAAATTCTAGTGCTCAGGACTACTTTGATTTTCGGCCCTTGCTATTGCATATCACTGTTTTCTACTCCTCTGAAGTTGATTAGAAAAAAACAAGCAATCCTTGCTATGCTAAATGGTATCGTATTTGTAAAAAATATTGTGGCTGGATGCGAAAGGCTTCACTCATTTTTGATTCTCTTAACACAAGCATCTTTTAATAGAAAACCAGAGAAACATAATGCTTTTCTTGCACTTCATCGAAAAGCTGGATCCAAAAAAACAACGAACTCTAATTAATTCATGGTAGATATGGATGAAAATAGTATTTCCAATAAAAAAGTAAAAAGTACTGTAGAAAAAAGGCGTCTACGACAATTTCTTTATTTGTTTTTATGATGAAATTGGCTATGATTAGGGTGAACTTGAAAATCGATTACTCACCTGTTATATCATCGGATAATGCCTTTGAAATTTTTTCAGTCCTGTCTTCAGTATGGTAAATTTTCATCATTGCTAGTGAACATATTGTTTCAAGTTCTCTTAATTTACATTCAAATTCTTCTTTTGTAGCATACTAAAATGTTGATAAAATAAAATAAAACATAAAAATAATATTTTCTCACTTGATTTTGTCCCAACCATACCAATATATTTTCACTAGCATCGATCGTTTTCTTGACATTAATATTAATTTTATCATCCGATTTTTTATCATTAATTTTTTCCATCATATTAAAACAATATGATTCAAGTAAATTCTTAGCTTCAATACGATCGCATTGTATTTTCTCTTCTTTTTTATACTGTTCAGCGTTAGCAATCAAACATTCAATTTCCTCTTAAAATAAACGTACTTTATCATTTGTTATGGTAATTGTCTTTTCTTTTCCAGATTTTTTTCTCCATAGCTGAAACATTCAAAATACTAGTTGCATTAAGGTCAAATGTAACTTCAATCTCTATTTCGTCATGAGGTACTAGTGAAATATCAGCGAATTTAAAACTCTCTAGTAAAATATTATTTTTCGTCATTAATCTTTGTCCTTCAAAAACTCTAATATCAAAACCAGATTGATCATTTGAAATCGTTGTAAATATTTTCGTTTGTTTTGTAGGAATTGTTGTATTACGTTTTATTACTACCGTCACAGTATCTCCAGCTGTTTCAATACCGTCAAAAAAAGCGAAGGACGTTATAGAAGAACTCTTTTATTTTCCTTATCAATGAAGTTGGTGTAACATCTAGTAATAATAAATCTTTAATTTCTTCTGATTTATCACAGGCCTGAATAGCGGCTTGAACAGCAGCACCATAAACGGCTTCTTCATCTGAACTGATTGCTTTCATTAATTCTTTTCCATTGAAGAAATCTTGTAAAAGTTTTTGTATTTGTGGAATATGTGTTGAACCACCGATAAAAAGACTTTCATGGATGCTAGCTTTATCCATTCTAGCATCCCTTAAAGCCCGTTCAACTGTTTCAAGTGTTGAATAAAATAAACTATCATTAAGTTCTTCAAAACGAGTACGGGTTATGATTGAATAGAAATTAATATCTTCATGTAATGCAGCAATTTCAATTAATGCTTGGAATGACGACGATAAAGTACGCTAAATGAAAAAAAATTAATAAAGTTTTTATTAGAAATATCAAATAAAAATTTAACTCACTTTAGCAGACTCACAAGCAGTACGCAACCGACGAAGACCACGCTTATTTTGTGATAAATCTTTACCGTATTTACTTATAAATTCTTGAACAAAATGTGCAACCATTCTTTTATCAAAATCTTCTCCACTCAAATATATATCACCTAAAATATGGTTTTAAAATAATTTTTCAAAGTTCTGTTTTACATTATTTACCGGCGGTTGATTAATTAACTTCGAAGACACCTTCTTCAATTGCTAAAATTGATACATTAAAATGACCACACCCAAATCAAAAACTAATATGTTTCTTGCAATCGGAAATTTTTTATCAAAGCCATAACCAAGCCCAGCAGCTGTTGATCCACTTATTATATATAATCCATTCAGACCAACAAAAACACAAGCATCTTTTATTGCTTGACATTGTGAATAATTAAAATAAGCTGGAACAGTAATCACAGCTTCAGAAATTTGTTCACCAACATAAGCTTCTGCTATATCTTTCATTTTCGCTAATATCATTGAGATTATTTCTTCAAGTGTGAAGCATTTTATTTTACGTTTATATTCAACTTGAAACTTCGGTTTCCCGTTATCATTAATTACTTTAAATGGCCAACTTCTCATGTCAACTTGTACAGATGGATCATCAAATTTACGACCAAGAAGTCGTTGAGCATCAAATATTGTATTAGTTGGGTTTAATGCTGCTTGATTTTTAGCTGCATCACCGATTAAACGTTCATTATTGGTAAATGCAACGTATGATGGTGTTCTTCGAGTAGATTGTTCATTAGGAATGACTTCTACTTTACCATGTTGAAATACAGCAACACTTGAATATACCATACCCAAATCGATACCTATTGCTTTTCTCTCCATTGTAAGTTATTGTAACCAGAAGTTTTCCAATTCTTTTATTATTCTTTTAATTTACTGCTATTCTCTCGAAGGTTTTATACACTTTTAATCTGAAGATAAGTCATTAAGTAAATCGATATGGAAAAAGAATGACTCTTTCAAAATGAAGATCAAACAACTTTTACATCATTACAAAAACAGAAGTATCATTTGTTTGCATTACACTTTAAATATTCGTCGACCAAAAAGCAGTATAATTTGTTTTTCCTATTATGCAAGAGCGATCGAAAGAGAACGAACACAAACATGTCTGCAAAAAATCATACGCAAAAAAGTGTATAACAAAAAAGGAAAGTAGGAAAAAACGTGTCGATGTGGTATGCAGGTCTTCTCATGAATGGCACCTACACCACAGCTTTTGCTTCTAAATATAAAATAATGATACTTCTCAAAAAGACTATAGGAAACAAATAACAAAGAAAAGAGTACCGTATAGATCATATTTTATTATGAGACGTTTCGTCGGCTACTGTTGACTTCGTCAGTCAAAATAAATGAAGTTACATGAAAAAGAACAGTTACAAATATAGTGTGAGCACTTTGTTACAATTAGACGAGAGAAAAAAACAAAAAACAACACAAAAAGACAAGTAATAAGGGTGTGGGTGTGCTTCGATATTATCCACATCCACACCCACCCAGACCCATACCCCAACCCCACACTCACACTCACACTCACACCACACCCACATCTCGCACCCACCCACACCCACACCCACACACACTCACATCCTTCTATATGGGTGAGTCAGTCGTTAGAAAATTCTACTTCCGAAAAACAACCATTAGTATTTATCGCGTTCGTGGCACACCAGGGTAAGTGTGCATGTCTGGCTGCAAATGTGAGTGTGGCTGTGGTGTGCGTGTAGGTGGGTAGAGGAATAAAATAGCAACAAACACACCCACATCCCACATCGATAACGTTTGTTTTTTGACCAAAATTAAATTTATTTTACTGAGATTGTGTTTGAAATTTCAAGTTGACAAATAAAGTGAAGAGTCGAAATATATGTTCAGAAACTTTTTTCAAAAACATACAGAACACGTTGAAAAATTTTGTTATCAATAGTTTCGTGTTCGGAAGAAAAAGATGATAGTCTAACAAAACCGAATGTGGAAGTAGATTGCGCATAAGCGTTTACTCGACGTCTACTATGAATAACTCTGAGCCTATGTAAGCAATAAATATTCAAGTATGATAAATATGAATATAATAATTTTATGTAGTATGAAATTCTGAATGTAAAACATAAGATGAATTTAGGAAGTTTATTCTTTTTCATGCACTCTATTAAATGCACCAATTCTATCAGTTTCATATAGGTACAGCTTGAACACAATTGAGTGTAAACATTTTTTCGTTGCCGTACCTGACAAACTAAAGTAACTTAACTTTTCTTTACTTTACTGTATTTTTTTTAAAGTAAAATAAAGAAAAAAAGCTTATTAGCGCAGCTCTTTTGGAGCTGCAATGTGGAACTGACGTATATCCTTCAACCTTGTTATCCTAATATATTATTTGTAAACTGAAAAATTTTTTGTCAACTATCGTTGTTTTCGCTGATAATCGATGATAAGAACAACAATTTATTATTTATTTTTACATTTAAAACTGAAAATGTCTTTTTCGTTTGAGACGTCCCGACTTCATTTATAATTGTTGCTCTGTACTCGATAATAGTCATTTTTTTGTTTTTTGTAATTTGAAGTTATTATTTTTTTTTCACCGTCGACTATTTCATGAATAAGACTATTATAATAATGCAGTTTATATGAATTAGCAGCTCTTATCACACTACTATATACGTCAATAAATCCATAAATAGTGATATTGTTTACTTTTCAAACTGATAAAAAGATCGAATCATGCTTCTCATGTTGATTATATGAGTGCCATGACGGAAATATTAGTACTGTTTATTCCGGCACTTTTACTATTAAAAAAAACAGATGATAGTATCGACTTATGAGCAAAGATAAAATTCCAAATGGATTCTGTTTTTGAGAGAAGAATTTTGTTTGTGAAATTTTGCAGATTATTCTTTATCAACGACTAACAATATAATATTTACCATTTTTGATAATGTTGAATCAATACTGACATCTCCTTATCGAGTGACACTTACAAAAAAGTTTGATAATCACTTTGCAGGACCATCATCATTTGATAAAAGACCTGTTTTCAATATGTGACTAGTTTGAAAAAATTAAATTGGTATCAAGAGAAAAAAATAATAGCTTTGATTTTATTATGTGAGATAACAATACGTATTATTATACTGATAAACGAACAAAAGGTGCGGTTATCAGGGTTGCTTCGTTTGCTGAAGAAAATTTTGAAGATGTGAAAAAAAATATTTTTAATGGCTACTGGAAAAAACATTAATTATTGATTTAATTGGAAATCATGGTGGTTATAGTTGTCTAACTTAGTTTACTAAATTATTTAATCTTTAATTATTCTAATCGTAATGTCTTGTATGAACTAATGGACGATAGAATGAATGAACCAATAAAGTTCTTTTCCAACACATGTAGTTCATATCCAAATTCAATATTAGATTTGCGAACTGATCTTTCATTTACAAATATGAAATAGATAAGCATTTGGTAGAGAAAACTTTTTGATTAAAAATGCAACTAATAGAAAATATTTTCGATCGATTTATGCTTGAACAGATAATACGTGTAGTGGTGCTTGCAGTTTATTTCTATCGTAATTAAAACTTGGTTCCAATTTTAAAACTGTTTCCGGTATTGCTGGTGGTCCATTCAGTTCGAATGGTATTGTCACATATTACAATCTTGTTAGTGCTAAAAATTTGCCCATTTACTATTTACCAACAAGTACTTTTTTAAATTTGCATGTTTACGAAATATACTGTATATCAATTCAATCAATAGTGATCACTCAATAGAATTTGTTAAGTAGTCAATTGATACACGACTAAACAAATCTGTTTATTTTAATACTCAACTAGTTCATTCTTATATGTTCTCAGTGGAACTGCTCTTGTAGTTAATGAAGTAGGTACTATATTCACCGTACCAAGATAGTTTTTCATATTAAATAGCTCACATTAACTGTAGTTAGGTATCCGCTTTGTCACAACTATCTTATACATTACACATCTGCCTAACTGTCTTTGCACAAAATAATAAAAAAAAATATCCTCTTTTTTAATAAAAATGTAACGTTATATAAGTTACAATTGACTGTGCATGTTCTGTGCTATGTGTTGCGAAATAAATACTTTAATCATAAATACTGTACTAGTTTCATTTTATCTGAAAATGGCATTTTTTTTTCGCTGAGGTTTGAGAGTGGACGTGAAAGTATGAGCTGAATAGAAGCGGTTATTCTTTTCACCCAGCCAACCATCCTTTATATCTTCGAACAGACTTATCTTATAGTTTGTTTTTCGTGTTGGCCGGCTTCTTAACAAGACCTATTAGAAACCATATACGATTGAAGTTCCGAAGAATGAAGAAAAAAATATTGCTAATATGATATAACGACAACACATTATACCCATCATGTACAGATCGAAGTACTGATCCATTATAGGTGCGAATCAATACGTAAAATAATCGAGTTCGTTGCCATTGCGCCGTCTACGAAGCATTGTTCATCCACCATAATGACTTTTGTATGGATCAAGAGAAGGGTATCATAATGCCATAAATATATCGCTGTCTGTCTTCCGTTTCTTCTTTCATCTTACTTTTATTTTCTCATTCTCTAATACATGCGTCTGTTCATTAGTTTTGTTTCGCATCTCTGTCTTCTTGACTCTTTTACTTATTTAATCTAATAACTAAGTTGATCTGTGGTATGTGAATGACAAGATAGAACTGTTCGTTAGTGTTGATTCATTATTATGAAACAAAAAAAAAACATTGTTTTTCTGTCAGAAATGCGCATTTGTGAGCTAATATCTGTCAATCGACAGTAATGATAGAAAAATACGTTGCTGTTTAGGTCTCGAATATGCTAGCAATTATATACCCGTATACTCCTATGCATTTTTATGCATCTCACAATAGTACCCAGTGAAAAATATTTTGAAAAAAAACGGAACAGAATGGTTTCATAAAAATATGGAAACCTTTTTTCTATGCAAAGAATGCGTTCCTTTTGCTAGTGAATGCGTTCATGTTCAAGAAGAAACACTCTCAGTCTGAAGGAACTCGTTCTTTGCCGTTCCACAATAAGATGGAATGCTTTCTTTTCTATTGAGAAATTGTTCTCTATTTGAAGGGAAAGCATTCCGAACCATTCTTAAACCAATAGAAGCCATCCTAGTTCATTCTCTTTCGGAACGGCACAGATAGCAATCCATCAAAATAAGATCGCTTTCTTTTACGTTTTCTAGAGAAGCATTGAAAGAATGAATTCTTCTAAGTGATGAATACTTTCTTTTGGAATTAAAGCACATTTCGATTCAAAAATCAAAGATCTGAAGCAAAGCAGGTTGAAACTGATGTAAGTAATGGTGGAACCTTCAGCTAGTTATTCTTTGGGGATGCTACTTCTGATTTAGAAAAAGCATGATTTTAATAACGGTTTCAGTTACAACGATTTGGAGCACGTCATTCGATCGAGCTCGTCGAGTTACCCCGAAAATGGTCTTTTGACGAATTAAAGATTTATCCATTAATGATTAGTCGTATGATTAAGAAAGTTGCCTCCTCTCAAGAAGAGAAAGTATTCCAAAAGTGGTGGAAAGCGTTCCAAAAGTGATTGAATGCTTTGTTGATCGTTCCGTTTTTGGAACGACTAAGAACACGTTCCAAAAGTGATAGAATGCGTTTTAGACCGTTCCATTTTGAAATGCTTTCCATTTTTTTCGAAACGTTTTCTTTTCTTAAAAAAAGGGCTTTTCATTTTTTGGAACGCATTCTCAACCGTTATTTTTTACAAATAGTTTTCACTGGGTAGCCATCGTGATTACGAGAAT